TTGGGGCACAGACAACAGTTCCTTTAGTCCACAGATCCACACCAGACACAGCAACACAGTACAGTTCTCTGGAAGGAAATATGGAACAACAGGGGTATGGTAATGGTAAATCCACAGGGGGTAATCCACGTAGAACAGGAGGCTCCAGGCAGGGGTTCACGTGGGTTAAGTCCAGGCAGGTTAAGTTCACGTAGTAGAACAAGGGGTTAAGTCCAGGCACGTAGGGGATAGAGGTTCACGTAGAACAGGGGTTAAGTCCAGGCAGGTTCACGGAGAACAAGGGGTTCAGTCCAGGCAGGGGATAGATCCCAGGCAGATGCACAGGGATGCACGGGGACAGCAGAAGATTCTTCCACAGTGCAGGGATTCCAGGCAGCACAGACAGTCCAGGAGATGAGGAGGAGGACGGGGGATGGTCGTATGAGAGAAGCTGGCCCTCAGCACAGCCTTCCCTCACACACGCAGCCAGGAGAACACACAGGGGGGTTTTCTGCTCACCCTTAAGTATACAGCTGGTAACCGGATACTTCTTGTCGGGTTACCATGGCAACGGGTCTTGTCTCCCAGGTCTCCAGACCTGTCCAGGGAGCCTAGGAATTTGTGCATGAGGGGGAAGGGAGGAGGGGGCCTGTTTGTGGATTCCTTCAGCAGGAGGCCCAGACTGCAAGCCAGGGGGGTGAGAGGCTGCCTGTGTCAGGGACAAAGAGACTAGAAGACTAGAAGTCCCAGCATGGATAGGACAGAAGAGCGAGGGGCTGCTGAGGAGCAAACCTGGAGGATGGGGAAGGAAGGACCAGCTCCGTGACAACCCCGTCATTCTACAAGTGCCGCCAGGGGAACCTCAACAGGTTCCCTTAGAGGCACTTGTGGACTGCATTTACTGGGGGTCTTGCTGACGGGACAGCCCATCTGCACTGTGGTGCTGACTTCCCCGTCGGTATTGGATGATGAAATTGTAGGGTTGTAAGGCCAGGCTCCATCGTAAGAGGCGGCCATTATCCCCGGAGACCCGATTCAGCCAGGTGAGGGGGTTATGGTCCATGAAGATGGTGAACTCCCGGCCATACAAATAGGGTTGAAGTTTCTTCAACGCCCACACTATGGCCAGGCACTCCTTCTCTATGGTGGCATAGGCCACCTCCCGGTCTAATAGTTTCCTGCTAAGGAAGGCCACAGGGTGCTCCTCCCCCTCATTTACCTGGCTGAGGATGGCCCCCAGCCCATAAGTGGAGGCGTCTGTCTGCACGATGAACCTTCGCTGATAGTTGGGCGCTGCTAGGATGGGGTCATGGGAAAGGGCCTTCTTCAGCCGATCAAATGCGGTCTGGCAGGCCGGGGTCCAGGTTACCATCCAGGGCATCTTGGTGAGATCTGTGGGGGCTTCGCAATCGTGCTGAAATGAGGAACAAATTTGCGGTAATAGTTAGCAGTGCCCAGAAACGCCATAACCTGTTTCTTGGTCTGGGGGGTGGGCCATTCCCTAATGGCTTCTATTTTAGCCGGTTCTGGGCGCAGTTTACCCCCTCCCACCTGGTGTCCTAAATATTGCACCTCCGCCATCCCCATCTGGCACTTGTCTGGTCGAATCGTGAGGTTGGCCCCTGCAATTCGGTCCAGGACAAAGCCCACATGCTGGAGGTGGTCTTCCCATGTTTCACTAAAGATGGCTATGTCATCCAGGTGCACACAGGCAAAGTCATGACAGCCCCGCAGCAGCTGGTCCACCGTACGCTGGAAGGTGGCAGGAGCATTCTTCATGCCAAAAGGCATGTTGAGAAACTCGAACAGGCCAAAGGGGGTGATGAAGGCAGAGCGCTCCTGACCCTCTGAAGATAAGGGGATTTGCCAGTAGCCCTTGCTCAAGTCCAGAGTAGTGACATAGCGGGCTCCAGCCAGCCGGTCCAGTAGGTCATCGATACGGGGCATCGGGTAGGCGTCACTAATCGTGTGGTCATTGAGGCGTCGGTAGTCAACACAAAAGCGGATGCTGCCATCTTTCTTGGGGACAAGAACAACTGGAGAGGCCCAGGGGCTCTGGGAGGGCTGAATAATTCCCAGATCCAGCATTTCCTTCAGTTCCTGTCTCATAGTGTTCTTAACAGCTTCGGGGACACGATATGGGGCTTGTTGGAGGGGCCGGGTTCCCAGGGTCTCCACATGGTGAGTGGTGATAGTGGTTTTTCCAGGCCGTGCCGAAAAAGCGGAACTGCGCTGGCCCAGGACAGCATTCATGGCCCTCTGTTGCCCCGGGTTTAGCTGCAGACTCAGGGGCACCTGGTGCACATCAGTTGGATGGCGTGCTGCTTCCAGGAGATCCAGTATGGCCTCTTCCTCCTCCTCAGAGGGTATTGGACAGACGGCCATAACAAGGGGTTTTGGTCATGGTACTCCTTGATCATATTGACATGTACCGTTTTCTGCCGTCTCCCCCGATCATCTAGTCCAAGAATATAGTTAGTGTCATTCACTTTCCTAATGACACGGAAGGGTCCCTCCCATGTGGTTTGCAATTTGTTCTGGGGATTTGGGACAATCATGAGGACCTGTTGGTTTTCAGTAAACTCCCGGGTGCGTGCCTTGCGGTCATACCATGTCTTTTGCCAGACTTGGGCTGCTTGGAGATGGTCAGCTGCTAGGCTGGCTAGTTGTCCCATCTTTTCACGCAGTTCCAAGACATAGGGCACCACAGGGACCCCGGTATCCGGTAGTTGACCCTCCCAGTATTCCTTCAGTAGGGTCAGGGGGCCACGGATTTTACGCCCATACAGCAGTTCAAAGGGGGAAAATCCGGTAGATTCCTGAGGCACCTCCCGGTAGGCAAAGAGGAGGTGGGGCAGGTATCTTTCCCAGTCTGGCTCTAGGTCTACAAAGGCCCGTAGCATGGCCTTCAGGGTCCCGGTAAAGCGTTCACACAGTCCATTGGTCTGGGGGTGATAGGGGGTTGTCCGGATGGCCCGCACTCCACAGGTCTGCCAGAGGGACTGAACAAGGCCTGACATGAATTGAGTCCCCTGATCTGACAGGATTTCAGCAGGGAAGCCCACTCGGGTGAAACCGATAACCATGGCTTCTGCAACTTTGGGAGCTGTGATGCTGGACAGGGCGACTGCTTCGGGATAACGAGTAGCATAGTCCACGATGGTCAGGATGTACCGCCGCTTTCCAGATTTGCTGGGGCGAGCTAAGGGGCCCAGAATGTCAATAGCTACTCGTTGGAATGGCTCCTCAATAATGGGTAGGGGCTGTAGGGGGGCCCGCAGGCCACCTGTTCTTCCATGTCGCTGACAGGTATCTCAGGTACGGCAGTAGCGAGCTACCAATTGGGACATCCCAGGCCAATAGAAGCCAACCTGGGCCAACCTCCTTTCGGTCCGTAGCTTTCCCTGATGCCCAGCCATGGGAATATCGTGAGCAAGGTGTAGCAGTTGGGTCCGGAATTGTTGGGGAACTATCAGCTGTTTAGCCATGGTCTGGGGCTCCCCTTCGGCGTTGGTCTCCACCACTCGGTACAGCAACCCATTTTCCTGCACTATCCTTTCGCCGGTCCCCGGACCAGTCAGCCGTGCTCAAGCCCAGAAACTTGTCAGAGTAGGACCGGTGGCTAAGTCCCCTTGAAACTTGTCCCGGTCCCATGTCACCCCAGCATTGTCAGCAGAGTTGAGTCACTCACCACGGGCAGCGGAGCTCCGTCCACATGCTGGGGTGACTCCTTCCCCTCAGCGGTTTCCCGGTAGGTCTGACTTCGTGTGACGGCTCCCACAAAGTGGCATTGAAGATCACCAACATCATTTCCAAGAAGCACATCTGCAGGCAGTCCTCCCATTACACCCACGTTGCAGCGTTTAGGCCCCAAGTCAAAGTCCAGATTGACAGTAGCAAGAGGGATAAAGCGTTTGGTGCCCCCTGCTAGTTGAATCACTATCCCAGGGCCAGGCTGTACAGCGTCAGGGTGCACCACTCGGGGGTCCACAATGGTGAGGAAGGCCCCTGAGTCTCAGAAGCCCACCGCCTTTTGTCCATCCACAGTGACCTCTTGCAAGTGCTTTCCGTGGAGGCTCTGGGTAGGGGCCCCCACAGGCTGTAGGCCAAAGACTCCTGGGGGGGTGTCCTTGTCTGCAGGAGCAAGATCCCAGTCTGAAGGTGGTGGTGGCAAGTCTTGGGAGCTTGGTACAGATCCACAGAATTCACTGGCCGGGGCAAGCTAGGCCCGAGACTCTGTTTTTTGGTGGGGCAGCTGGCCTGGTAGTGACCAATCTGTCCACAGCCAAAGCACCGCCTATCTAAGGACGGTCTGGGGCCCCGTTGTGAGGTGGCTGAACGAGGTGGTAGTAAGGGCCATAGCGCTGGCACTGTTTGTGTGGCCATCCGGCGATGGGGAGGCGTGTAGGGCACCGGTGTAGGATGGGGCATCCTTGCCGCTTGGGGTGCCTCGGCCGCAGGCTTCTTCCATTGTGGGTTAATGAGAAGAGCCTCATCCGCTGTCAGGGCTCCTGGTAAGACCAGAGATGCGTGAACTGACACAGGGAAATGCAGGCTCAAGTATGGTGTAACAATATAATTTATTAAGGGTTATACACAAATATAACGCACAATATAACAACCAAACCTCCAACTGATAACGGAATGTTCACAGATAAGAGCAGTCAGGGCTGGCGAGGTGGAGGGGTCAGGTAGGCCAGGTCAGGAATCATCGGGCAGACAGGCCACAAAGGAGTAGGCAGAGCGTAGTCAGACGGGCCGGGTCAGGAACAATCAGGCAGACAAGGTACCAAAGGAGCAGGCTGGAGAGTGGTCAGGAATAGCCGAGGTCAGGACAGGTGGAGTTCATTCAGGGTCAGGATCAAGCAGAATCAGGAATCAGGCAGGAAGCAGACAGGATGCAGGTACAGGGGCTTATGGGAAACATACACCAAGGCACTGACTGCAGGTCTGGCCATTCCTTAAATACACTCCTGCAATCAGCCCTAGGTGTTGGTTGATTGCAGGAGTGAGCTTCTGGCTGCTGAGAGCACCCGCTGGTCAGCCCTGGTACTGCAGCCCACACGGCAGGTGAGTCCCACCACCAGTGCTTAGTCCAATTCCTGACAGTACCCCCCCCTCAAGGAGTGGCCTCAGGACGCTCCAAACAGTCCTTAGTGGGCAAAATGTTCCACCACCCGGGTCAGGTAACTGGCTGGATATCTTTCTGCTGGAGTCAACCGCTGGCTGGGTTTCCTGCTGGCAGACTTCTCTTTATGTACGGAACCCAGGAAGGCAGGTCGCTGGACACAGGATCTCCAGGAGCAGGCTGGGAATCAGTTATTGGCCAGTTTAGCTGGACATCAGGGGCTGGCACATCAGGCTGCGCAGCGGACAGAGGCACGTTGGGCTGCGCAGTGGGCAGAGGCACATCGGGCTGGGCAGCGGGCAGAGGCACGTTGGGCTGGGCAGCGGGCAGAGGCACGTCAGGCTGGGCAGCGGGCAGCGGCACGTCAGCTGGGCACCGAGCCATCTGAGCATCTGGCACGACAGCGGGCACCGGGTCGTCAAGCTCGACAGCGGGCACCGAGTCATCTGGCACGACCGCGGGCACCGAGTCATCTGGCACGACCGCGGGCACCGGGTCATCTGGCACGACCGCGGGCACCGGGTCTTCTGGCACGACCGCGGGCACCGGGTCATCTGGCGTGACCGCGGGCACCGGGTCATCTGGCATGACAGCGGGCACCGAGTCATCTGGCACGACAGTGGGCACCGAGTCATCTAGCCGGACCACGGGCACCGAGGCATGGGGCCGGGCCACGGGCACGAGGCACGGGGCCGGGCCAGGCCACGGGCACCGAGGCACCGGACCACGGGCACTGAGGCACCAGGCCGGACCACGGGCACCGAGGCACTAGGCCGGATCGGGTCATCAGGCTGGATCACGAACACCGGGTCATCAGGCTGGATCGGGTCATCAGGCTGGATCAGGCCATCAGGCTGGATCGGGCCATCAGGCTGGGTAGCGGACACCAGGTCATCAAGCTGGATAGGATCATCAGGCTGGATCACGAACACCGGGTCATCTGGCTGGATCGGGTCATCGGGCTAGATCACGAACACCAGGTCATCAGGCTGGATCGGGTCATCAGGCTGGTTCGGGTCATCAGGCTAGATCGGGTCATCAGGCTGGATAGCGGGCACTAGATCGTCAGGCTGGGTAGGAACATCAGGCCGGGTAGCGTACACTGGGTCATCGGGCATCAGGCTGAATTGCGGGCATCGGGGCACCAGGCTGAACCACGGAAGGCGGGTTCACAGACGGCAGGCTGACCGGTATGGATACTGGCAGGATGGTATTGGTTGGAAAGGATTTTCGCCTTTTCCTGGTTTTAGTTACTGGAGCACTGTAAGTAAGCGCAGGTTTGAAAACGGATAGAGCAGCTGTAGGAAGAGAAGAGCTGGGGGATGGAACAGGGGAGGGAGCAGTTGCTACAGAGGACTTCTTTACAAGGTTAAAGGCAGGATAGGTGCAGCGAGTGGGAGCAGGGGACTTATATGTGGTAGCTAACAGGGTATACTGGGCTGTCATTGGGGGTGCTGTCGGGAGTGCAGGAAGAAAGCTTTGAGCAGAGGAATGATGAGAAGCAGGACTGGTTTGTTGCAAGCTGACTGAGGCTGGGTGTAATAAGTCTGACCAGGACTGTAGTATGGGTTGAACACAACTCCGCTTACACAAAGCCTGTCTGACCAAAGACTGCACTGCGTCTATACACTCCACTAGCATGTGATGGACATGCTGCATGATGCTCATGGAAGCAATCTGGATCCTCCTCCAACAACCATATCAGCGATTCCACTTGATCTGCACTAAATGGGGGAAAAAAGTCATCCCTGCTTTCAGGGGTACTAGCTGAAGCCAACTCCACACAAGCCTGAATTAATGGTTGCACCTCAGAGAACTCTGTGCCCTGATCTACCAGGGAATGCGCGACCTGTATACATTCTAGCAGCTGATCCCGGGGATACTCCTACAGAGTCTCATAGGCATATTCTTTGTCATCAAAGACTAGCAGACACAAGTATATAACCTCCTCTGGCTGCATCCTTCACAACAAGCCAAGGTGGCTTCCCTGTGCAGCCACTTCTGGTCAGGAATGGCCTTGGTGTAATGTCAGGGCTCCTGGTAAGACCAGAGATGCGTGAACTGACACAGGGAAATACAGGCTCAAGTATGATGTAACAATATAATTTATTAAGGGTTATACACAAATATAACGCACAATATAACAACCAAACCTCTGATAACGGAATGTACACAGATAAGAGCAGTCAGGGCTGGCGAGGTGGAGTGGTCAGGCGGGCCAGGTCAGGAATCATCGGGCAGACAAGACACAAAGGAGTAGGCAGAGCGTAGTCAGACGGGCCGGGTCAGGAACAATCAGGCAGACAGGGTACCAAAGCAGCAGGCTGGAGAGTGGCCAGGAATAGCCGAGGTCAGGACAGGCGGTGTCCATTCAGGATCAAACAGAATCAGGAATCAGGCAGGAAGCCGGTACAGGGGCTCATGGGAAACATACACCAAGGCACTGACTGCAGGTCTGGCCATTCCTTAAATAAACCTCCTGCAATCAGCCCCAGGTGTTGGCTGATTGCAGGAGTGAGCTTCTGGCTGCTGAGAGCACCCGTGGTCAGCCCTGGTACTGCAGCCCACACGGCAGGTGAGTCCCACCACCAGTGCTGAGTCCATTCCTGACATCTGCTAAGGTTGCAGCTTCTTCCAGGGTGGCAGGTTTCCGCTCACGCACCCACTGTCGGAGCTCGAGGGGGCACTTGAAAAGGAATTGTTCCTTCAGGATGGCCTGGAATATCTGCTCAGGGGAGGCCGCCTTCTCCCCTTCCAGCCACCGGTGGCAAGCTACTGACAACTTGTGTGCAAACATTTTAAAGGAGGCCTCTGGGAGGCGGGGGGTAGTCCGGAACTGGGCCTGATATGACTCCGATGAGACCGCGTAGTAGTCCAGTACGGCCCTTTTTATCTCCTCATAGTTCCGTCTCTTGAGGGGGTCGATTCGGTAGGCTTCAGCAGCCCCTCCGTCAAGCAGCCCTACCACATGTCGAGTCCAGTCTGTGGGTGGGACCTCCAGTAGTTCACACTGGTATTCAAAGTCCTGGAAGAACCCATCCACATCTCCGGTGTGCTCTTGGTAGGGCTTAAAGTCCTTCCTGGATATTCTCTGGGCCTCCCGTGCCACAGGGACAGCCACAGGAGCAGCTGCTTGGTACTTTGCAGCTTCCCACTCTGTTTGTCTCTTTTGAGCCTTTTCCATGGCTGCCAGCTTTCTCTCTAGGGTGGCATCCTTCCCCAGAATGGCCATCTCTTCCTCATACCAGATGACCCAAGGGCTCTTGCCACTTGTGCTTTGAAGCTCTGGTCCATCTCCTCTCAGGACTGCTTGGCTCCTGTCTGTGCCCGCATCTTCCCGTTGCTGTTGGCTGGTTTCCTCCAGCATCTGGACCAGCTGATCTTTGGTAAGTCCCTTGTAGTTGAGGCCCAAAGTTCTGGCCTTTTCTTGTAAGCTGGTTACCATCCAGTGTTGATATTCCGGGGCCACCGCTTCCATTGTATGCAGACTCTCATCTGCCATCTCGAGTGCTCTCATCCCACCGCTGCCAACCAGTTGTCAAGAGAACCAGAGAGCACACAGAGACAGATTGCACAGAACCCAACGTGCTTTTATTGGGGAGGTTTTTGGGGCACAGACAACAGTTACTTTAGTCCACAGATCCACACCAGACACAGCAACACAGTACAGTTCTCTGGAAGGCAATATGGAACAACAGGGGTATGGTAATCCACAGGGTTAGTCCACACAGGAGGCTCCAGGCAGGGATGGGTTAAGTCCAGGCAGGTTCACAGGCAGGGGGTTCACAAAGAGCAAGGGGTTACGTCCAGGCAGGTTCACAGAGAACAAGGGGTTAAGTCCAGGCAGGTTCACAGAGAACAAGGCGTTAAGTCCAGGCAGGGTAGATCCAGGCAGATGCACGGGGACAGCAGAAGATCCCTCCACAGTGCAGGGATTCCAGGCAGCACAGACAGTCCAGGAGATGAGGAGGAGGACGGGGGATGGTCGTATGAGAAGCTGGCCCTCAGCACAGCCTTCCCTCACACACACAGCCAGAACACACGGAGGGTTTTCTGCTCATCCTTAAGTATACAGCTGGTAACCGGATACTTCTTATCGGGTTACCATGGCAACGGGTCCTGTCTCTCAGGTCTCCAGACCTGTCCAGGGAGCCTAGGAATTTGTGCATGAGGGGGAAGGGAGGAGATGGCCTGTTTGTGGATTCTTTCAGCAGGAGGCCAGGCTGCAAGCCAGGGGGGTGAGGGGCTGCTGAGGGCTGCTGAGGGACAAGGAGGACTAGAAGTCCCAGCATGGGCGGAACAGAAGAGCGAAAGGCTGCTGAGTGGGGGGGTGGCAGCCAGTAAACCTGGAGGATGGGGAAGGAAGGACCAGCTCCCTAACAGTGTCACTAACCTGGCCGATTCCACAGGGGGGGGGGGGAACATGTCACTAACTCGGCCAATTCCACAGGGGGACGTGTCCTTACCCTGGCCGATTCCACGGGGGGGACTTGTCACTAACTCGGCCGATTCCACGGGAGAACGTGTCACTAAATCGGCCGATTCCACGGGAGAACGTGTCACTAACTCGGCCGATTCCACAGGGGGACGTGTCACTAACCCAGCCGATTCCACAGGGGACGTGTCACTAACCTGGCCAATTCCACGGGAGAACGTGTCACTACCTCGGCCGATTCCACGGGGAAGAACGTGTCCACTCGGCCGATTCCATGGGAGAACGTGTCACTAACTCGGCGATTCCACAGGGTGATGTATCACTAACTCAGCTGATTCCACAGGGGGACGTGTCCCTAACCCCAATTCCACAGGGGGACGTGTCACTAACCCGGCCCATTCCACAGGGGGGGCCGATTCCACGGGGAACGTGTCACTAACTCAGCCGATTCCACGGGGGAACGTGTCACTAACTCAGGCCGATTCCACAGGGGGACTAACTGATTCCACCGTGTCCCCAACCTGGCCGATTCCACAGGGGGGACGTGTCACTAACTTGGCCGATTCCACAGGGGAATGTGTCCCTAACTCGGCCGATTCCACAGGGGGACGTGTCACTAACCCGGCCGATTCCATGGGGGATGTGTCCCTAACCTGGCCGATTCCACAGGGTGACGTGTCACTAACTCCCGCTTGATTCCACAGGGGGATGTGTCACTAACCCGCTTGATTCCACGGGGGTGACGTGTCACTAACTCGGGCCGATTTCACAGGGTGACGTGTCACTAACTCGGGCCGATTTCACAGGGTGATGTCACTAACTCGGGCCGATTCCACAGGGTGACGTGTCACTAACTCGACCGATTCCACAGGGGGATGTGTCCCTAACCCGGCCGATTCCACAGGGTGACGTGTCACTAACCCGCTTGATTCCACGGGGTGACGTGTCACTAACTCAGGCCGATTCCACAGGGTGACGTGTCACTAACCTTGCCGATTCCACCGCGGGGGGGACTTGTCACTAACTAGACCAATTCCATGGGGGGACGTGTCACTAACCCAGCCGATTCCACGGGGGAACGTGTCACTGTGACAGGAGTGACTTTGGGTGGGGGGCCCATGGAACACAGCCCCCTTTGGAGAGGTGGGGAGACCCCTGTCTCAGCTCCCCATATCCATCTTATGTGTAAGTCCCCCTGTGCCTGTTAGGGGTGCAGGGGGATCCATCCTAATATTGGGGGGGGGGTGGATTGTTTGGTGTCATGTGGTTGCATCCCATTGTTCTATTATGTGTCTGGCTATGGAGCAAATTATTATGGGATGTATGTGTTTGTGTATTGGCTTGGTGGGGGGTGTCTGCTGTGTGTCTCCTTACTAAATGTATTGCCCCGCCCCTGTATATATCTTGTCTCTGGGTTACAATAAAGCCGTCCATTTCCTGTTTTAATATAAGTCTGGTGTGTCTCGCCCTGTATGGCCAGCGGTGGTGTCCGTGGATCTGTGTTCGGACAGGGAAACAGGAGTCTAACGGAAATACCCGAGTGCAGTCTTGGGTCCGGTTCTGTTACAGTCATTAACCCAGCCAATTCAACGGGGAAACGTGTCACTAACTCAGCCGATTCCACGGGGGAACGTGTCACTAACTCAGCCGATTCCACAGGGGAACGTGTCACTAACCCAGCCGATTCCAAGGGGGAACGTGTCACTAACCCAGCCGATTCCACGGGGGAACGTGTCACTAACTCAGCCGATTCCACGGAGGAACGTGTCACTAACTCAGCCGATTCCACGGAGGAACGTGTCACTAACCCAGCCGATTCCACGGAGGAACGTGTCACTAACCCAGCCGATTCCACGGGGGAACGTGTCACTAACCCAGCCGATTCCACGGGGGGAACGTGTCACTAACCCAGCCGATTCCACGGGGGAACATTTCACTAACCCAGCCGATTCCACGGGGGAACGTGTCACTAACCCAGCCGATTCCACGGGGGAACGTGTCACTAACCCAGCCGATTCCACGGGGGAACGTGTCATGCTAGCACACAGGTGATATGAGATCTGCCTGAACACCTAAGTGCCTCCCGAATCTCATCCATGTCCTCACCAGGCGTGGTCTCAGCATACATGACAGACACAGAATTGGTCACATGATGTATATTATGATACTTATATACACAGACTACACATACAATATATATACAGGAGATCCTCATTTCTTGCTGGATGATGGGGCTGCACATCGGGATTGGATGGTCTGGTGTACAAGGTGCTCCCAATCTGCATCGGAGATCTGCTGCGCCCACAACGGGACGGACACAGAGGGCAACTTCACTGCCGCCATCGTCTTCTTCACCAGCTCCACGTGGTCTACACACAGAAAGGTGATCTTAGTACTGACAACCGGGGTGACAACCTACCACCAAGACGAGACCCCGCCATGACAACCTACCACCAAGACGGAACCCCGCTGTGACAAGCTACCACCAAGAGACTTGCGCCATGACGGGACCCCCCGCTGTGACAACCTACCGCCAAGAGACGAGCTCCATCACTGGTCCCCGCTGTGACAACCTACCGCCAAGAGACGTGCGCCATGACGGGACCCCGCTGTGACAACCTACCGCCAAGAGACGTGCGCCATGACAGGTACCCCGCGGTGACAAGCTACCACCAAGAGACTTGCGCCATGACGGCACCCCGCTGTGACAACCTACCGCCAAGAGACGTGCGCCATGACAGGACCCCGCTGTGACAAGCTACCACCAAGAGACTTGCGCCATGACGGGACCCCGTTGTGACAACCTACCGCCAAGAGACGAGCGCCATGACTGGTCCCCGCTGTGACAACCTACCGCAAAGAGACGAGCGCCATGATGGAACCCTGCTGTGACAACCTACCGCCAAGAGACGTGCGCCATGACGGGACCCCGCTGTGACAACCTACCGCCAAGAGACGAGCTCCATCACTGGTCCCCGCTGTGACAACCTACCGCCAAGAGACGTGCGCCATGACGGGACCCCGCTGTGACAACCTACCGCCAAGAGACGTGCGCCATGACAGGACCCCACGGTGACAAGCTACCACCAAGAGACTTGCGCCATGACGGGACCCCGCTGTGACAACCTACCACCAAGAGACGTGCGCCATGACAGGACCCCCGGTGACAAGCTACACCAAGAGACTTGCGCCATGACGGGACCCCGTTGTGACAACCTACCGCCAAGAGACGAGCGCCATGACTGGTCCCCGCTGTGACAACCTACCGCAAAGAGACGAGCGCCATGATGGGACCCCGCTGTGACAACCTACCGCCAAGAGACGTGCGCCATGACGGGACCCCGCTGTGACAACCTACCGCCAAGAGACGTGCGCCATGACGGGACCCCCGCTGTGACAACCTACCGCCAAGAGACGTGCGCCATGACAGGACCCCACTGTGACAACCTACCACCAAGAGACGTGCGCCATGACGGGATGATACACCTCCCCCTCCCTTGCCTCCCCGGGCTCAGCCTTTCAATGACACCTCCCCCTCCATTGCCTCCCTGAGCCCAGGCTGTCAATGAAACCCCCCCTTCCCCCGCCTCCTCAAGCTCCACCTGTTAGTGACCCACCAATCAGGCTCAATATCATCACGCATCCTGGGGATCACAACAATGTAAGGACCGCCCACCGCCAATGCTGGTGAAGAACAGCCCCGCTTGTCATGTGACACCTCAGGGTTGGTGTCTTTATATGTTGCTTTTCAAATGAAGTGCGGGGGAGGGAGCAGAGTAAGCGGCTTTAAAGCCCAAATCCCGGCAGATTGTTTTCATTCCGGACAGGTCGGGGAGGTTGGAGCCGCACTCCGGGATCACCTCATGGAATTTCCAATGTTTGGTGGCCCCCAACAGGCACATCGCCTGCTTTTCCCAGGTGGTCTATAGCCTCCCTAATAATGGTTTCCTTGGTGATCCCGCCACTCGGATACCTGCGTCCATCGGAATGGAGTTGTGTGCGGTGTCACCCTCCTCCTCATCCTCGCTGTCCACAGGCGGGTCCGGAAGGTGGAGCCTCAGAGCCTAAAATGAGAGCAGATAGAGAATCAGCTTCTTCTTCCTTCATGACTGGGCTCCTTCCTTCCCTTTAGGGGCCCTTCCTTCCCTCCAGGGGATGTTCCTTCCCCCTAGGGGTCCTTCCTTCCCTCTAGAGGTATTCCTTTCCTCTAAGGGCTGGTCCCTCCCCCTAGGGGTCCCTTCCTTCCATTTAGAGGTCTTCCTTCCCTCCAGGGGATGTTTCCTCTTCCTAGGGGTCCTTCCTTCCCTCCAGGGGATGTTCCCTCCCCCTAGGGGTCCTTCCTTCCCTCCAGGGGATGCTCCCTCCCCCTAGGGGTCCTTCCTTCCATTTAGAAGTATTCCTTCCCTCTAAGGGCTGGTCCCTCCCCCTAGGGGTCCTTCCTTCCATCTAGGGGCCCTTCCTTCCCTCCAGATGTTCCCTCTCCCTAGGGGTCCTTCCTTCCCTCTAGAGGTATTCCTTCACTCTAAGGGCTGGTCCCTCCCCCTAGGGGTCCTTCCTTCCATTTAGAGGTCTTTCTTCCCTCTAGGGGCTGTTCCCTCCCCCTAGGGCTCCTTTCTTTTCTCTAGAGGTCTGCCTGGGGTCTGGCAGAGGCCGGAGGAGCAGCCTGGGGTCTGGCAGAGGCCGGAGGAGCAGCCTGGGGTCTGGCAGAGGCCGGAGGAGCAGCCTGGGGTCTGGCAGAGGCCGGAGGAGCAGCCTGGGGTCTGGCAGAGGCCGGAGGAGAAGCCTGGGGTCTGGCAGAGGCCGGAGGAGAAGCCTGGGGTCTGGCAGAGGCCGGAGGAGCAGCCTGGGGTCTGGCAGAGGTCAGCCATAACGGTGGTACCTGTAGCCTCTCCTGTAGGTCGCTCTCGGTCTGGGCTGTGTCCTCCGGATCCTGGTTCAGTGGTTGGTACTGGTATCCGCTCTGCCCTTCCTCATCCTCCTCCTCTTCTCCGGCACTCCAGTCTCCAGGCCCAGCATCCTGGGGGTCCCCCACCTCCTCACTCTGGTTTGGAAAGATCCTCTCGGGGCCCATCCTGTGTAATGAAATCACATGACATAATGGCCGGCCCAACATGAAGACGGATACACCACCAGCGGACTGAAGGAACGTCTCTGAATCCACCCAAAATACGGCATCAGACCTCACGGTCCTCCTCCACTCCAACCAGAACCCTCCAACCTCCTCCAACCAGAACCCTCCAACCTCCTCCAACCAGAACCCTCCAACCTCCTCCAACCAGAACCCTCCAACCACCTCCAACCAGAACCCTCCAACCACCTCCAACCAGAACCCTCCAACCTCCTCCAACCAGAACCCTCCAACCTCCTCCAACCAGAACCCTCCAACCTCCTCCAACTAGAACCCTCCAACCTCCTCCAACCAGAACCCTCCACCTCCTCCAACAGAACCCTCCAACCTCCTCCAACCAGAACCCTCCAACCTCCTCCAACTAGAACCCTCCAACCTCCTCCAACCAGAACCCTCCAACCTCCTCCAACCAGAACCCTCCAACCTGCTCCAACACCAAATCCAGAATGTCGGCTAATCTACAGACAACCAATGTATAGCCTGGGGACATGACACAAATGATGGAGGATAATGGGAGGGGCAAGGATGAGGGATGATGGGAGGAGTCAGTGATGAGAGATAAGTGTACCACGCCTACAGCCACCCCTCTGCCTAAGTATACCACCGGACTGGAAGGGAGGGGGAGGTAGTGTCCGGACTGGAAGGGGGGGAGGAAGTGTCCGGACTGGAAGGGGGGAGGAAGTGTCCGGACTGGAAGGGAGAGGGGAGGTAGTGTCCGGACTGGAAGGGAGGGGGAGGTAGTGTCCGGACTGGAAGGGGGGGAGGAAAGTGTCCGGACTGGAAGGGGGGGAGGAAGTGTCCGGACTGGAAGGGGGGGAGGAAGTGTCCGGACTGGAAGGGGGGGAGGAAGTGTCCGGACTGGAAGGGGGGGGGAGGTAGTGTCCGGACTGGAAGGGGGGGGGAGGTAGTGTCCGGACTGGAAGGGGGGAGAGGAAGTGTCCCGACTGGAAGGGGTGGGGGGGGAGCGTCCAGACTGGAAGGGGTGGGGGGGGAGCGTCCAGACTGGAAGGGGGGGGGGGAACGTCCAGACTGGAAGGGGGGGGAACGTCCAGACTGGAAGGGGGGGGAACGTCCAGACTGGAAGGGGGGGGAACGTCCAGACTGGAAGGGGGGGGGGGGAACGTCCAGACTGGAAGGGGGGGGGGGGGGGGAACGTCCAGACTGGAAGTGGGGGGGGGGGGGGAACGTCCAGACTGGAAGGGGGGGGGGGGGGGGAACGTCCAGACTGGAGGGGGGGGGGGGGGGGGAACGTCCAGACTGGAAGGGGGGGGGGGGGAACGTCCAGACTGGAAGGGGGGGGGGGGGGGAACGTCCAGACTGGATGTGTCGGTGTGGGTGGGGGGGCGGGGGGGGGGGGGGGGGAACGTCCAGACTGGAAGGGGGGGGGGGGGAACGTCCAGACAGGAAGGGGGGGGGGGGGGGGAACGTCCAGACTGGAAGGGGGGGGGGGGGGGGAACGTCCAGACTGGGGGGGGGGGGGGAACGTCCAGACTGGAAGGGGGGGGGGGAACGTCCAGACTGGAAGGGGGGGGGGGGAACGTCCAGACTGGAAGGGGGGGGAACGTCCAGACAGGAAGGGGGGGGAGCGTCCAGACTGGAAGGGAGAGGGGGGAGCGTCCAGACTGGAAGGGGGGGGGGAACGTCCAGACTGGAAGGGGGGGGACGTCCAGACTGGAAGGGGGGGGGGGGAACGTCCAGACTGGAAGGGGGAGGGGGGAAGCGTCCAGACTGGAAGGGGAGGGGGGAGCGTCCAGACTGGAAAGGGGGGGGGGGGAACGTCCAGACTGGAAGGGAGAGGGGGGGGGAGCGTCCAGACTGGAAGGGGGGGGGGAACGTCCAGACTGGAGGGGGGGGGGGGAACGTCCAGACTGGAAGGGGGGGGGGGGGAACGTCCAGACTGGAAGGGGGGGGGGGAACGTCCAGACTGGAAGGGGGGGGGGGGGGGGGAACATCCAGCTGGAAGGGGGGGGAAAGAACGTCCAGACTGGAATGGGGGGGGGGGAATGTCCAGACTGGCAGGGGGGGGACATGTCCAGACTGGAAGGGGGGGGAATGTCCAGACTGGAAGGGGGGGGGAATGTCCAGACTGGAAGGGGGGGGGAATGTCCAGACTGGAAGGGGGGGAATGTCCAGACTGGAAGGGAGAGGGGGGAGCGTCCAGACTGGAGGGGGGGGGGTGGAGTGTCTGGACTGGAGGGGGGGGGGGGGGTGGAGTGTCTGGACTGGAAGGGGATAACTCCACTTAGTCAAAGTTCCGGCAAGCTGAAGAATGAGCCAACCAGGACAGGACTGCAGCCACCTCGTGTGACAGACCCAACCAGGACAGGACTGCAACCTCCTCGTGTGACAGACCCAACCAGGACAGGACTGCAGCCTCCTCGTGTGACAGACCCAACCAGGACAGGACTGCAACCTCCTCGTGTGACAGACCCAACCAGGACAGGACTGCAGCCTCCTCGTGTGACAGACCCAACCAGGACAGGACTGCAGCCTCCTCGTGTGACAGACCCAACCAGGACAGGACTGCAGCCTCCTCGTGTGACAGACCCAACCAGGACAGGACTGCAGCCTCCTCGTGTGACAGACCCAACCAGGACAGGACTGCAGCCTCCTCGTGTGACAGACCCAACCAGGACAGGACTGCAGCCTCCTCGTGTGACAGACCCAACCAGGACAGGACTGCAACCTCCTTGTCCTTGTGTGACAGACCCAACCAGGACAGGACTGCAGCCTCCTCGTGTGACAGACCCAACCAGGACAGGACTGCAGCCTCCAGCCTACTGACCACCAGCCTGGCATCTGAGGGGGCGTTGTTCTTTGGGAGGCGTGTGCCTGGGGGGGGGCTTTTTATTTCACGTCCCCCTGAACCACACAGACTCTGAGAATTGGAGGACGAGGATACAGATTTGGGGTGTCTGTGCCTAACCCAGGACTGACTGCTTCAAACCCCCCCGCCCCCCCCCCCCCCCCCCCCCCAGACTCTAAGATGATGCTGATATAATCAGCTCAAAGCACCCGATGTGAAGTCTCCCGCTGGAATCTGTTTATAAAAACCGCCCTCAGAAACACGGCTACAGGGCGGCACGGGGGCGCAGAATCACACACTTATATACACACGGGATTTGACATTTCCAGGTAGGGGACACGCATGCCGCCATTTGCAGCTGAGGCTGTCAATCACCGGGTCCCGGTCGGTGATTACTCGCCAGCGCCCAGCGCCCAGTGATTGCCGAGTATCTCTGACGGGGGCAATATAGTCCTCCTCCCTGTCAGCTCCGGCACACTGAGCAGCACAGCCATCCACAGCAGTGCCAGTACAGACCCCGCCCCCTAGTAACACAGACCCCGCCCCCTAGTAACACAGCACACAGGTAACCCTTTGATGGCCCCACATTACCCCCTTCCTGCCCAGTGCCATTAGTACAGTGTCGGTGCTTTCTGCTAGCATTGATCACTGTATTGGTGTCACTGGGGATGTCAGTGACACCAAGTCCCCCCCCAGTGTCCCCCCCAGTCCCACTATAAGTCGCTGATCGCCGCCATTACTAGTATATAAATCCCCGTATTTCTCCCACCATTTGTAGACGCCATAAATGTCACATAAACCGATTCATTTACATGGAGCGGGACGTGACAGCGAAGACACGGAGCGGGGCGTCACGGCGAAGACACGGAGCGGGGCGTCACGGCGAAGACACGGAGCGGGGGCGTCACGGCGTCACGGCGAAACACGTCACGGCGGAGCGGGGGCGTCACGGCGAAGACACGGAGCGGGAGGTCACGGACAGACCACGGAAGACACGGCGAAGCGAGCGGGAGGTCACGGCGAAGACACGGAGCGGGAGGTCACGGCGGCGAAGAGGTTCACGGCGGAGCGGGAGGTCACGGCGAAGACACGGAAGCGGAGGTCACGGCGAAGACACGGAGCGGGAGGTCACGGCGAAGACACGGAGCGGGGAGGTCACGGCGAAGACACAGAGCGGGAGGTCACGGCGAAGACACGGAGCGGGTGGGACGGCGGGAGCGGGAGGGGGGGGGGCGGCGGTCACGGCGAAGACACGGAGCGGGAGACATTGTGGCCGAAATTTATGATGAAATTTGATTTTTTAATTTTTTTACTGGATGTTTTATAGCAAAAAGTTCAAAATATTTTTTTTTTTCTCAAAATGTGTTTTTTTTTTTTTTTTTTTTTTTAAGTGCAAAACTAAAAACCGCGGAGAGGATCCAATACCACCGAATGAAAAGCGCCACTGATGGGGAAAAAGGATATAAATGTCATCTGGGTTACCGTCAGCACAGTTACCGCAAACAATGGGCCGGTCATTTTATATTTATTATATTATTTTTTTTTTTTTATTATTTTTTTTTTTATAATTTTTTTATATTAATTTATTTATTTTATAAATTTTTTTAACTATATTTATTATATATTAAATATATTAGTTTTTTTTATATATTTATAATTTTTTTTTTATTTTATTATTAATCTTTTATTTATTATTTTTTTTATTTATTAATTATTAATTATTTTATTTTTTTTTTATAAATTAAATATATTATTTTTATATTTTATTATTTTAATTTTTTATTTTATTTTTTTTATAATTATATTTTTTATTTTTTTTAATTATTTATTTTTTACAATTATATAATTTATATTTATTTTTATTATTTATTTAATAATTTTATATTTAATATATCTTATTATAAATTATTTTTTTTTTTAGAAGAGATTTAAAGATAAAGAAAAAAGAATTTTTTAAGTAAAAGTTAGATAGATATTTTTATTTTTAAGGGGGAAGGGGAAGAAAAGGGGAAATGTGGGTACATCTTATAATTTATTTTATATTATTTTAGGGTTATTATTTTTATTTTTTAAGATTTAGGGGGGAATTAGGGAAGGGAGTAAATATGGGGAAATTTATATATTTATTATAGGGATTATTTTTTTTTTTATATATATTATTTTTTTTTATTTTTTATTTTATAGGAAAGAAGGGGATAGGAATTTTATTTTAATATTATTTTTTATTAGGGATATCTTTTATTTATTATAT